TGACTTACGTGACCCTGTGGATAACGTAACACTGGCAAGGTTCCCCGAAATACCCTGTCGAATTGTGAAGACCGGCATGGTGTGATCCTTCATCGACCCTGTGGGTATCGGTACCCTGTCAAGGCGATAATATGTGACCCTGTGGATTATCAATACCCCCAAGGTTTAACTTTTGTGACGCTACTGCGGATGACGTACACTGCCAAGGTGAACAAAACGACCCTGTGGAACTTTCAAGCCCCACATGGTGTATTGCTTCACCGACCCTGCGGATATCTGCGGGTATCGACACCCTGTCACGGCGATGATTTGTAACCCTGTGAACTACGGTATCCCCAAGGTCAGGTTTTCGTGACCCTGCGGATGACGTAACACTGGCAAGGTGCATACAATGACCCTCCTGTAGAACTTTCAAGCCCCACATTGTGTGTTCCTTCACCGACCCTGTGGGTATGGGCACCCTGTCATGGCGAGAGCTTGTAAACCTGTGGACGACACGGTATTCCCAAGGTCAAGTTTTGGTGACCCTGCGAATGACGCAACCCTGGCAAGGTGCACCGAATGACCCTGCAGAAGTTCAAGACACAGATGGTCTGTACCTTCGCCGATCTTGTGCGTATCGACACTCTGTCACGGCAATAATTTGAAGCCCTGCGGGCCACACGATATCCCCAATGTTGGGTTTTCGTGACGCTGTAGATGACGCCACCCTGGCAAGGGTCATAGAACTTTCAAACCCCATATGGTGTGTTCCTTCACTGACCCTGCGGGTATCGGCACCCTGTCGCGCCGAGCACTGGTAACCCTCTAGACCACACGGTATCCCCAAGGTTTTAATTACGTGACCCTGTGGATAAAGTAACACTGGCAAGGTTCACAGAATAACCCTGTGGAACTTTCAAGCCCCGCATGGTGTGTTGCTTCACCGACCCTGTGGAGATCGGCACCCTGTCATGGTGAGCACGTGGCACCCTGTGGACTATACGATATCCCCAAGGTCGGGTTTTCGTGACCCTGCGGATGACCCCACCCTGGCAAGGTTCACCGGATGACCCTGTACAATTTTCAACCCCCAAATACTGTACAACGTCGCCGACCCTGTGGGTACCGAAACCCTGTGATGGTGAGCACATGGTACCCTGCGGACCACACGATACCCCCAAGGTCAGGTTTTCGTGACGCTGCGGATGAGGTAACCCTGGCAAGGTTTACCGAATGACCCTGTAGAACTTTCAAACCGTTCCTTTACCGACCCTGCGGGTATCGGCACCCTGCCATGGCGATGACTTGTAACCCTGTGGACCACACGATATCCCCAAGGTCGGGTTTTGGTGACCCTGCGGATGACGTAACCCTGGCAAGGTTCACAGAATGACCCTGTCGAACTTTCAAGCCCCGCATGGTGTGTTTCTTTACCGAACCTGTGGGTATCGGCACCCTGTCGTGGCGAGAGCTTGTAACCCTGGGGACCACACGATATCACCAAAGTTTAACTTTCGTGACGCTGCGGATGACGCCCCCCTGGCAAGGTTCATCGAATGACCCTGTAGAACTTTCAAGCCCCGCAGGGTGTATTCCTTCGCCGACCCTGTGGGTACCGAAACCCTGTCATGGTGAGCACGTGGCACCCTGTGGACTATACGATATCCCCAAGGTCGGGTTTTCATGACCCTGCGGATGACCCCACCCTGGCAAGCTTCACCGAATGACCCTGTAGAATTTTCAACCCCCACATACTGTTCTACGTCGCCGACCCTGAGGGTACCGAAACCCTGTCATGGTGAGCACATGGTACCCTGCGGACCACACGATACCCCCAAGTTCAGGTTTTCGTGACGCTGCGGATGAGGTAACCCTGGCAAGGTGAACCGAATGACCCTGTAGAACTTTCAAACCCCACATTGTGTGTTCCTTTACCGACCCTGCGGGTATCGGCACCCTGTCATGGCGATCACTTGTAACCCTGTGGACCATACAATATCCCCAAGGTCGGGTTTTGGTGACCCTGCGGATGACGTGACCCTGGCAAGGTTCGCGAAATGACCCTGTCGAACTTTCCAGACCCGCAGGGTGTGTTTCTTCGTCGACCCTGTGGGTACCCTAACCCTGTCATTGTTGACCCAGTGACCCTGGCAATATTTTTTACCTCGACAGGGTACCCACAGGGTCAGGTACAGGGTGAAACCCTCCACAGGGTGTCCACAACCTTGAGCAAAGTGGCCACCGGTGTTCCGCTCGACGGGGTCTGTGAGGGCCTTCACTGTTGCCTCAACGTCCCGAACGCGAAAACTTTTTCCAGGACGCAATTCATCATACAGTTCCGCATCAATATGATATAATTATAATTCTTAATAATATTGTGCAAATGCCTGGGTTCTTTCGGGAATGCGCTCACATCGGCCCCATACGACCTGAGCATCCTTAAAATATTAGGCTCGTTCAAATATCTATGTACCAATGGAACGTCCACGCTTCCTGTTTTGTAAACTTGACGAAATCTCAAGGTATAATGATGTCCATCAGGATCGGCACCCTCTTCTGGAAAAAACTCAAGTAACTCTTCGCTGCCGTGAAAAAAAACTTGAGCAATCATTTTTGAAAGAACTCGTTCGGGTGTGGTGAAACCTCGCTCCCTTAATTTTTTGAAAATGTTTAATATGTTTCTGTGGGTCATTCGATCATTGCTGTTCCGGACAATTTCATAGAACTGGATATTGAAAGATGGTTTACTGTAGAAGTATTGATACAAACATGTGTAACTTTTGGATGATGGCATGGGTCTTTGGGGATCAGCGCCCAGATCAAGAAGAAGGAGAATTGTAGAAACATGCCTACGAGATAAGGCAATAGTTAATGGATTTTCGTATCTTCGGCTAGAAGTCTCGGCGTTAACATCAGCTCCATCGGACACGAGCCTAGAAACTTCGGGGTCGTCCCCATTGTGCGCAGCCTTGTGTATTGGTTTATACCCTTCAGCCATTGTGCAATTACATGTGACGCAATACACTAATTTTAGTTGAGATGGATCGACGAACAATAAGGGCTATTGTTATCGACCAATAAAACACGAAAAAAAAAACGAAACCGTGTTTTCTTGAACATATATGGAGGCGTTTTTCCCCGAAAGCGTGAAAAGAAGGAGTCGGATTTTTTTGGGGCTTGCTCTTTTAACGTTTTCGTGTTTTTGACAGAAACATCGGACAAGCGCACCGCGGGCGCTGTAACATCACTGAGAACGCTAGAAAGACCTGCCAGACTCACGTCCAGGTCTGTTGTGGACATGGACAAGCGGCAGAAGCGGCGTTCAGTCCGTTCTTGGTCCAAAACTAGACATTGCGTGGTGCTCTCGTCTTCAACTGCTGCTGTTGGTGCTGGGGAATTTTTTTCGATCACACATAGCAAACACGTAAACAGTAGAACGAGTACAGCAGCACCACCAAGACCTCCAAAGCGCTGATTCCTTCGGTTCGGCTGTCTATATGATACCATCTCCCGGCGCCGTGCTGTTTCGTGGGTATTGGGTGCTTGGGTGCTGCTCAATAAGGTGTGTGAGAGACGTGTGCCACCTCACCAAAATGCCGTTGGAAAAATTGCGGCGAGATGATCTGTTTTTGGTCGGACACATCAGCATCAATCCACGGCGCCACGCAGCAGTAGAGCAACAGGGCCTCCAACACGCTAATTCTTTCGGATTGGCCATCTATATGATGCTGGCCGTCAGCGCGGCTGCCGCCCTATGATTGTTGAGCTCGTCTACCTTTGGGTAGGTGGTGGTCAAATAAATGAGCTGGCAAACTGAAGAAATCGCAAGCAACACCCAGGTTGCGACACTCTGCCGTGCGCCTGTTGTTGCTGAAAACTGAAAACAGCAGGCCGGATGGACGGGATCTTTCTAAGTGTGTTGTCCTCTGTGCCGGGTGCTGCTTATTGCGCTTTTATCGCTGCTCTATGGTGAGCAATACCATGTCAACCTGTTGTGTGCCGAGCAAAGCGTGTATTCAGGGAAGGAAACGTACTTTTTGCGATGACATCACGAAAAGAACAAGCAAAAAAAAGTCGGGTTTTCTTTTAACCGTTCCGTTTAAAAAAGAACGATTTCGACGTTGCGTTAATAATAACCCTAAGGTGCTGAAATTTCGTACTGCCCTTCCCTACCAATAGCCGAGTCGTTTAAGCTACAGCATGCCTCGATCGGCCCCGGGGTTGACGAGTTATCGTCCCCGGAGAATTAAGGACAAAACCCGCTTTAAGGACGCTTTTTTTGAAGAAAAACCATGTGCGTCCTTAAAGCGGGGACGACTGTAAATGTATCATGCCTAGCAAGACCAAGGCCATGAAGAGACAGGAAAAGGGCCTTCCACCCTCCGCCGCACCGAAAGCGCTTTGTTAACCTCCAGCAAGACCGAAGGGGTGCGCCGAGCCGATGTACGTGCACAGTGAGCTACTCGGTGGCTACCTGATCTCCGGGTGCCACTGCCCCCTCACCAGCACCACATGTTGCTGCGACAGAATACGGCAAGAGTCCTCTGATGCCGTTCGCCGGCTACACAACCATACCGGGTAGGTGCCCGGACAACGCCATGGAAACCTGAGGTAATCTAATCTTTTCCGGCGACGTGGACGAGGTAACCAGGTAACCCCCAACAATCCCCGAGTGTAGCGCAGCGGAGGCGTAAATTCCAGGGGGGCGGCACCTGTCGGCCTTTCGCAGGTGCGCTTGTTTAACCACAATAAAATGGTAGGAAAGCTTAACTGACACATCATGGACCTCATCGAAAGCATGGATAGCTCAACTATACGCGTGGACAAAGACACGAAGAAGGGAAGCGTGATTGACGGTATCCGAATGGTTCTTGGTTGCGACTCGAGCAACGCAAACACCTCCTTGGGGCGATCTGAGCCTCGTGACCGAAATCGAGGCCTGCCACGCCACCCTACAGAACACCGAGCAAGGGCGAGAGACGCAAGAATTCGTCCTACACGGACGCGAAGAGGCCATTGAAACCTTTGATGGAATGCCCACCGGTTATCTCTCTGAGACCGACCGCGCGCAGGTCGGCAAACAAATGATTGAGCAGCACCTCAACGCTGGCGAGCAGCAGCTACATGAACAGCGTTGACCACAGCTACGGGTGGGCGAGGCCTCCCGAAGAGCAATAATATTACTCCTCCCAACCCGCCCCCTCGCTCCCTCACACACTTTTGCCCCCTATTGTGCATGACTGATCACGGGTCGTCCGTTGAAGAGGGTTTGCCTCTTGACAAAAACATTCCAGTTGCCAGGAAGGGCGTCCTTTTTCCAGTACAGATCACCAACTTCCTACTTTCCCACACGACCACGATGCCCGTCTCCCCGCCCCTTTGCGCCGAGTCAAGCTCGTGAGTGGGCGTGGTCGAGTCGTGCAGGAACGGGGTGGCGACGGCCACTGCATCATTGACAACCATATCTTGGCGGCTGAGGATTGTCCCGTTGTCGCGCAACTCTATCAGAGTGCGCCCGTCCAGACGAACGCCGATGTCTTGTAGGGCTCTGTAGCTTTGCACGAGGTCGTCGACCCTCTTGCGCTTGAGGGCCACCCTGCTCTTCTGACACTGAACCTTGCCGCATGAACGACGCCCATGATGCGGGAACGCTCTCAAGTGCAGGAACATCATCCGACCCTGCGCGTGGCCTCAACCCCGGCGAACTCTCAGATGACGACGCTGCTCCGACAACTCGCTTCTTCCCTGAAGCGTAACAGATGCCGACCACCTCGACAACGATAACAAGAATCATCAACACATGACCTGCCACAAACACTCTCGAAAATATAGCCTGGCTATGGTTGCTCTCGCCAGACACATCCACTTTCAGCAGCAACAAATCAAACATGCTGAGGAACACAATTACATGACCCCCCCGTGAAAGCCACATGTCGGACTCAGACTCGTACGGCGACAATATTTCGAACAACAGCGAAAAAAACGAAGTGATTAGCATGGTGATCGCAATTTGGGCCGCATCGTTCGGAAAGATAAAGACGACTACACCCGTCAGCATGACACGGCGTCCGCACTCGACTACTTCGTAGTAGAACCGCTCGGGCCTGTACGGCTCCCACAGCCCGGAAATCGACAGAGCTACGGTCTTGTCCGCACCAGCGTCGGCCAGAACGTGGCGACGTTGAAATAACAGGAGGGCATAGAGCAGGGGGATTCCCACCGGGTACACAACAATCATGATCGCTGCGTACACTTTGAAGGCCTTGTGCTTAGCATCCGTGCAGTGAATACGGTAGTCCGCCCGAAGGTATTCGACGTCGTCATCAAGTGTCTCGCAAGCGAAGGTTTGGAACACCGTTGATGAAACTGAGGAATACACCACGAACGTCAAGAACAGTAGAGCCGTCTGATGTTTGTGGTAGATCTTCTCTAATCCACCAGTGTCTGCGGATGCGCTGTGCCTACGTATCACGATCCCGTATGTCATCGCCAAAAATCCAGCAACGACCAGCGGTCCTATGGTATTGACGAGAAGTCGGTCGTGGAAGTCCATATCCGACCACAAGCACCCGGCCGCCAGCACGGAACCAATGTCGAAGTTGATCACGTCGATCGCGCTCAGAAAGTCTTGGTACAAGCCAGGAAAGGTGACATTCGCCGCGTCAGCAAACTGCGCGGGAAGAAGGCATTTTCATTCAGGTGGAGTTAGGGCATGGCGGTCGAGCCCCCGACTCGATTCGCTGTTATCCAAACGAGTGTGTTCCCGTCCTTTCGCTCAGTGCTCTATCGAGCTTCCTCGCTCTACAACAACCCATTTTGTACAATGGGGGCGTACCTGGGTCAAAATTTGCCACACAACGACGATAATTTTCAACGACTCGACGGGAACCGCTCCAAGTACCCTGCGACGGAAGCACCCAAAGATGCCCTCTTCATGCTCCGTTGACAACATGTACTGGAAAACTGCCGCAAAAGCCAAGACTGTGACAATCACGGCGATTGCAGCGATGACTGTGAGCCCTCGGCGTCTTGAGCTCGAGCAATGCTTGCAGGTGTGAGCAAGTGACGAAGAATAGTCGGTTTCGCACACTGCGCAATCTGCAGAGGTAGAAATGGGCAAACGCACGCGGTCACAAGGGTACGGGTAAGAAACGTGCGAAAACGCAACCAATGCTTCTGAAACCATCCGAGAATCATCAAAAGCGAGCTCGTACGTCCCTATCTTCCACTTCTCGCTCACATGGTCCCTGGTATCCTGAGGCACAAAAGCTGTCCGCTCCCGTTTTTCCCCCTGCGCAGGCATCCGCATTGTAACACGCCAGGATGATAACGCTTTCGGTAGTTGCACGCCAGTAGCCTTCATCAAGCTTGAGCGTTTCCAACGTCAATCCATCTTCGTCGGCCGAAGTGTGCTCCAATGGGACCTCGCATGTCGGCGTGATGGTACCGTCCGCGATGATGCATTCGAAGCACTCGTCCCAAGCAGGACAATCGACGCACACTGTCTCAAAGCGTGCATTGGGATCTTCCTGCATTTGTAAGACGGAAAAGGTGGACTGTGCCTTTTACCATCTGGTGGTGAAGCAAGTACGTGGCAGACGAAGCCTCGGGCTAGTCCAAGGGTCAAGAGGAATGTGTCACGATACACCTAGGAGAAGAAACAAAGATGCAGGAAACGCACCAGCAAAGCACCACCGCCGAACACACCTGCTCCGTATCGCTTCGAAACCAACCCTTCCCGCAGGACAGTTGATTTCCGTTGAACGTTGAGTCATGGATACTCGCAGACTCGACCACATCAACAGCGAGTCCACGGCTGTGAGCGATGTTGTCGAGGAATGCACAGTCGCTGACAGTCGCTTCACCACCGAGCCTCATAGCTCCGCCGACATCTGGCAAAGCGGATTGGTGACGACCGGTTGTATGTGGTGCATTTCCCTCCCAAGAATTTTACATCCTGCCAAAAAAAAATGCTCATAGCTTGGAACCCTCACCTGCCGAGTTGCCCTCAAAATGACAGGAAAAAATATTTTGAAACCCGGCCAAGGTCTTCACAGCCCCGCCGGCCTCCTCCGCCACGTTATCCGAGAAATTGCACCCCGAAATTGTAGAAGGCTCGTCTTGCAATTCTCCCGCGTACATGTACACCGCCCCCCCGTTTCCTGCACGGTTGTTGATGAATACCGCGTCGGTGACGTGGGAAAATTCGGAATCACTCATCACGTAGATTGCACCTCCACCATCGTTAGCGGAGTTGGAGTTGAACTGGGTGCCGTTGCCATCCCAGGAGACGGTCGAATATAACGCGTGGATTGCACCTCCACTATCGTAAGCGGAGTTGGAGCTGAACTGGGTGCCGTTGCCATCCCAGGACAATTTCGAAGAATACGACGCGTAGATTGCACCTCCATCACCGTAAACGGAGTTGGAGCTGAACTGGGTGTCGTCGCCATCCCAGGACACGGTCGAAGAATACGCGCGGATTGCACCTCCACTATAGTTAGCGGAATTGGAGCTGAACTGCGTGTCGTCGCCATCCCAGGACACGTTGGAAAACCACCACGCGCTGATTGCACCTCCATTACTGTTGGCGGAGTTGGAGATGAACTGGGTGCCGTCGCCATCCCAGAACACGGTCGAAGAATCCGCGCCGATTGCACCTCCACTATCGTTAGCGGAGTTGGAGCTGAACTGGGTGTCGTCGCCATCCCAGGACACGTTCGAAGAAGAAAACGCGCCGATTGCACCTGCCATCACAGCGAAGTTGGAGCTGAACTGGGTGCCGTCGCCATCCCAGGACACGGTCGAAGAAAACGCGCGTATTGCACCTCCACTATCGTAAGCGGAGTTGGAGCTGAACTGGGTGTCGTCGCCATCCCAGGACACGGTCGAAGAAAGCAACAGGCCGATTGCACCTCCATAGTAAGCGGAGTTGGAGATGAACTGGGTGTCGTCGCCATCCCAGGACACGGTCGAAGAATACGACGCGTAGATTGCACCACCTCCACCATCGTAAGCGGAGTCGGAGCTGAGCTGGGTGCCGTCGCCATTCCAGTAAGCGAAGTTGGAGCTGAACTGGGTGCCGTCGCCATCCCAGGACACGGTCGAAGAATACGACGCGTAGATTGCACCTCCATACTCGTTAGCGAAATTGGAAATGAACTGGGTGCCGTCGCCATCCCAGGACACGGTCGAAGATTCCGCGTAGATTGCACCTCCATCATCGTTAGCGGAGTTGGAGCTGAACTGGGTGCCGTCGCCATCCCAGAACACGGTCGAAGAATACGCGTAGATTGCACCTCCACCATCGTTAGCGAAATTGGAAATGAACTGGGTGCCGTCGCCATCCCAGGACACGGTCGAAGAATACGCGTAGATTGCACCTCCACCATCGTTAGCGAAATTGGAAATGAACTGGGTGCCGTCGCCATCCCAGGACACGGTCGAAGAATACGCGTAGATTGCACCTCCATCAACGTTAGCGGAGTTGGAGCTGAACGATGTATTTCCGCTGAACGAAACGCTAGATTGATTCGTCAAGATAGCCCCACCCAACGAAGCGCTGCCATTGCTCAAAGTCATGTCGGAGAGGTGCAATGTTGAACCCCCGTCTACAACGAACAGTTGCGTACTGCCACCCCCATCCGCACTTGCGCCTGGTCCAGTCCCAGTGATGTTGAGCGATGTGCCATCGCTGACGCGGATTGTTGCTGTCACGAAAACTTCCTCACCCCACTGTACATTGAAGTAACCGTTCGAACATAGAACGGAGGTTGCCAGAATAACCGCGTCTTCGGTGCTGCCGACGGTAAGGGAGCTGGTGCCGACGCTGCACTCCTCAAGTTCTAGGCTCCGAGCGACGGCTGCCATGTAGCCCATACACACAACCTGGGTGAGACTCATCTGCGCCAAAGACGGTAATGGTTTCGGTGGTCGAATCGAGCTTGAGGCACTGACGTTTATGCGCCAAAGTGGGTGGAAGGAATACTGTATTTTACCAAGTTCCTTGAGAACCACTTAAAAACCCGATTGCCACGCTCGCAACCACTGTCACGTTATCGAAACGTTATGAGCTCGCAGAGGGCTCCAAGCCTTGTGTGGTCATTGTCCTGGCACTTTGGTCACTTGCACCAAATATAAAAAAATTACCAAACGGCATACCGACCAACAGCGCATACGCCACTGAAGGCGCCCTCGGTTTGCCTGATGGAGCAGGTATACTAATTAAACTGGACGGGAGCGGGGAACAGTTGGGGTGTTTCGGGGTCGCCGGTACGCTAAGCTACACCAGAAATCTTCGCCACGGGGCGGCGCTTTTTTGGGCAAATTTGGAGTAAAACGCATTAAAATGAGAGTGCACCAAGCGCTCGTGCTCGCGGCGTCGAATCGCCGCTGACCTATCAGCCTCGCGCAAGGACCAACTGGTCTCGCAGGCCGTCGTAAACCTTCTACCCGGCCGCAACCATGGCACTGTCAATCAGGTCTGCTAGATGGTCGAACCCGGTCATCTCCTTGATTTGCCTCGCGCACTTGTCCTACAACTTTTTGGCGTCAGCATTAGCTTCCACACGTGGCTCGAAGACTCCAATGGTTTCATTTATGACCACGTATGTTCCCACGAGATAGCGCTGGGAGACATTTGCGGGGCAGATACGTTCCGTGTTACGGAAAACCAGAGGTTTCTCCGTGTCTCACAAGGGGAAACGTTTTCCAGGTTTGGCCTCTGGTATGAGAGCCACCCGGCTGGAAACACGTTTAGAGATTGAGATGAGGTTCACGGAACCTTTGCCGAGGGCATGACGTAGATAATTTCTCCACTTGGTGCCGGGGGGTTGGGGGCACTGGCACCCTTCACTACGCTCGGCCTCGCTCGCGATAAGGAAAACCCAGGGGGCGGCACTTGTTGGGCGCAGTTGAGTAATTACCAAGCGCTCGTGCTCGAGGTGCCGGCGCTGCGTACGGGACTGGCCTACTCGGTACCGGAGGGGCGCTGTTCGGGAGCGCTGGGAGCGCCGAGGGGGGAGGGTATCGGTGGTGAGGGGAGGGCAATCGGTAAGGGGGGGGGGAGGGGGCATCCCGAAAATATTTGCTGCAAACAAAATAAATATTTTCAGTACAGTAAATGTTCTAGAAAAAACAGTGAAAGTAAATTCCAAAAAACATTTCGTGAAAATATTACATAGAAAATTCCAAAAAATAAAATATTTCCGAAGGGTGGTCGACGTGACCGAAGTGGATCAGACGAGGACTTTGAGCCAATTTGCACCAAACCCCACCCGAAAGAAACATTTTCAGTCACCCGAGAACAAGTTTTGTGATGACAGCAAAAAAAAAATTCCCCGCCCGACCAACACAAAAAAAATATTGCCAGGCGCTAATAGAGGAAAACCACAATGCTAGCGGTATACGAGGCGAAGAAGTTAACTGCCCCCTGAAAGCCGAACTTATCGATAGCTTGAAAGCGAGAATCGTATCACATGTCACCAGTAGATGCGAAGAGCTGGATGAACACTCATTGGTGCGGTCAGAAGACCACCGCGAAACCAAAGGCTTCTACAAGATATCTTTTCAAGTCGCTCGAGGACCCAACACTGTTCAGAGGCATCGTCACCAACGGTCCAATGGCCCGACTTGCTGCCGAAGTGAACACCATATCTCCACAGATATTTAAGGATTACCCCGATATTTCTAAATCTCCGAGAGAACAGAGGGAGTCGTCGGTACTGGATATGGGCGTGTACACCAAGAACAGACTAATGAGAGGCCCAAAGGCTTCCAAGGGCGTCGGAAGTCGAGGCTTCATGCCATGTGCCGGATCAGAAGCGTGTGATCTGGAGGATTTCTTTATATGTAAGGACATACCAATGGACGATTACCGCGACTACGATTTCGTCCCCAACATAAGAGAGCGAGCAGCAGCGAGCAATCGCAGTAGACAAGAGTCAGACGCGAAAAGTGGCACCTACGACAGCACAGAGTGACCTCGAGAGCCAGATTCAATGCTATCTGCGTGCAACCCAAACCACCGACACCATGAAGGTCGTTTTCAATGGTTTGTATGGTGCACAACAGCTACCAAGCTACAGAGTGGACGGACTGGGCGAAGTTGTCACGTATGTGACAAAGTGCATGGACGCAATGGCGCATTTGTGAAAGAACTCCCGACCAAGGCATTCTTGTACACATGCATGTCTTCCATGAGAAGCGAAATATTGCTCATATTCGGCAGGGTTTTGAAGACTGCAAAAGTATTGGACACCATCGTCCCAGAAGACGGCAGGTCCCTGACATCCGCACAATAAAGGACAAGTGCATCAACATCACTGCCGGCATGAACACCGGGAAAACATATAGAGCCAACCAACTTAAAGAGGCCCTCGGTGAAACCCTCACCGAAAAATGAGGTTTGAAGACCTCGGAAAAAACATGCCATCCCGGAAGCTTCGAATTCTGGTTGTCACATGCAGGGTATCCATGGCTCCCAGGCTAGGTATGAGGTTTAAAGGCTTTGACCAATACACCGATACCATAATACGAGTATCTGCACCGCACCGACAGACTCTACGATATCATAATCGACGAAGTTAGGTCAGTACTAACCTCGGCGACCACGTATGACGAACAGGAGTTCTCTGGCTCGCAACATGGAGCGGTTGAAAATAAAAATGGCCCACGCTAAAAGGGTTATTTTGTCTGACGCCGATAGCGACCTCGACGGAGCTGTGCAGTACTTCATCCACAATAACTTCACCAGCTACACCGAGGAAGGCCGAATCAAATGGGTTCCGAACCATATCACCAATCTGTGGGCCTACAACCTCGCAGAAACGAGCCTGAAATACAGCCACTGGTACGCACATTTCTTGCTACCGACGCATAGTGGAGGTGGCAATTTTGTTCGGGCATCCACGCCAGCTTCAAACAACCACCTACGCACAGGGAAGGTGGCAATTTTGTTCGGGCATCCACGCAAGCTCATAACAACCACGTACACACAGGGGAAGTGGCAATTTTGTTCGGGCATCCACGCCAGCTTCAAACAACCACCTACGCACAGGGGAGGTGGCAATTTTGTTCGGGCATCCACGCCAGCTTCAAACAACCACCTACCCACAGGGGAGGTGGCAATTTTGGTCCGGCATCCACGCCAGCTCAAAACAAC